TGAAATGGATCTAGATGATCAGTTTCATCCAAGACAGCTTGGAGTTGAGAGGCAACTGCCCTCTCAATCACCTTGCTTAAAAAAGGCAGCAAAGAAATTGGCCTATAGTTGTTCCTATCCAGGGGGTCTAGGGAAGGTTTTTTCAGGTTCCCATATATGAAAACTCTTTTACTATTTCTATTTCCTCATTGTCTAGTTTGAATGTGTGTAAATTCTCTGTGGTCATTATTTTTGTTTTCTTTATGTTCAACAGTAAGCCTCCCTTAGCACTTTCTTCTTTGATCTTCCTTAGTAGTTGTTCCAGATCTGTGAGGTTTTCTGCTAGTATTATGGTGTCATCAGCATATCTCAGATTGCTGATATTTTTTCCTCCTATTTTCACTCCTCCCTCTTCCATGTCCTGCTTTCCTTACAATATTTTCTGCATATAAGTTGAATAGGTATGGTGATAGGATGCAACCTATTTTCATCTCTTGGTTGCAAACCCATTTATCCTGACTCTGTTTCCTATTTTTTCAACCAGTTTTCAGTCCATAAGAAAACTTCTCCTCTAATTCCATGACTGGAGGTTTTGTTCAGGTGTCTTTGGTGAGGGATCTTGTCAAAAGGCTTTTGAAAGCACAAGTAGGTTCTCCCAGACTTCTCATCTTTCTCTCTTCTATTTGCTCAGTTCACATGTATAGGCAGACTGTATCTACAGTTAGTTTGCTGTTGTTGTGTGCCTTCAAATAATTTATAACTTATGGAAACTCTAAGGTGAACCTACCGTAGGGTTTATTTCACAAGATTTTGTCAAAGGGGGTTGCCTTTGCCTTCCTTTGAGGCTGAGTGAATGTGACTTGTCCAAAGTCACCCAATGGATTTCCATTTTTGAGCAGGGATTTTAACTCTGGTCTCTAGAGTTGTAGTCCAATGTTCAAACCACTGCACCAAACTGGCTCTGTCTAGAGTTAGTACAATATGTATATATAGGCTCCTAATAGTATCCAGGATTTCTAAATGTGTGACTTGCTGGTGGTGTTGAGAATAAGAGTAAAAAGAGGGTGAACTGGGGAATCTCTAATTGTCTATCAGGGAATCATTAGTTTCAAACTTTGTGCTGGCACCTCAGATTTGTCAAAGAAACCTGCAATTATTATTACTTTTATATCCTAGTTAAAATAAAGCTGAGCCTGAAGAATTAAATTCAGTTAGGGAATGCGATTGCGACGCAGAGGGGCGGGGTAGAAATAAAACTTATTATTATTATTATTAATATAAAGAGAAATATGTTGAATTTTTTTCAAAAGTATTCAAAATCAAAGGAACTGAGAGAGGTGAAGAGAATCAACTTGCCTCTCCAAAAGCAATAACTGAAAATGAAGTCAAACATTTTGACTTCACATTGTAGTAAAAGACTGCTGGAAACCAAATTGATTTTCTCCCACTTCCATTTTGTACCTTTACAACTGGAAAGAGACAATAATGAGAATTTTTTTGGCACTGATGTGGCTGAATGAATGCATTGCTGAAATATGAAATTCCTTCACTTATATCTTAAGCATGCTGCAAATAAGAAGAAACAGACTTAAGAAACACTGTGAAATTACATAAACCATAAAGGATTACGCCTTTATGGAATATGAAGTAGCTGCCACATTGAATAAATATATGTTTTTCATTATATTTTTATTGCACATTTAAGGCACATTAAAGAGCAAAGAGCCATCAAAGAAAAAGAAAGGGAAGCTTATTAGATTTAGCACGTAAGCACATCAGTTTTTATGTTCAGGTATATTTCATGAACAGAAGGGAAGATGTCCACATGGGCTCTTCAATAAGTTATTTTTCCTTGGGCAAAATATTAATAGATGTTTTGCTAGGTGTGATTTTCTAATACTTGCATATTTTGCCTTTTTTATTATACATTCATATAAGCAGACTCATTTTTCTCTGCAGCAATCTAGAACAAATGACTGGGAAAATATTATCACGAGCACTGCTTACTTTTCTTAATGTGGCAGTCCAATGGGTATTGTTATCCCACTGC